CTACTAATCTAACCCTTTCCATCTCCTTTGCACACCTTTCCGTCCACTCCTCCATCTCCCACAAATCTCCAACCAAACACAAAGGTATCCAGTCTTGCTTCTTCATAACACACAGACTCCGGTGCATCTTTCGAAACGAAAAATCACCAACCGTCTCCCCACTGCTTCCCACATCCGCCGACTCCAGGATATCTAGTGACGTGTGCAATGTCCCATCCAACGACAAATATCCGTCCTTCGGACTCTCACCGCGAATCGTGTTACGCCTCTTCATCCTCGAAAGGTACGCCCCCCATGCTTCTGACACTTCTCCCTCCCATCTTTCCCTCATGTACCTCACACTCGTTCCGGCTACGTTTAGGGCAAGCGGCAATCCCCCACACATTTCCAGTATTTCACGCACGGCCTCCTTGCATCTCGCATTATCCACTTCCTCTCGATTCGCCTCACTCGCGTGCACAAGCATCTCAACTGCTTCTTTCCCTACATTCTCCCTCGGCTCGAAAGCAACCCGCTCCCCAATCTGACGCAGCTCCCTATCCCTCGTGGAGTACAAGAGTCTGCTCCTCCTTCCCCCGCTGCCCCCCGCAGTCTCAGCCAGAACAGACAACTTTTGAAGGATGTTCGAGTCTATATCATTCACCACCCATACATCATCAATGATGAACAGACACACATGCCTGCAAAACCACGCTTGTACCTTCGTTAACACCCTTCCAAACTCGCTCTGCTCTCGCATTTCCGTAGCCGTCTGCTTGCCACCGGACGCTTCCACAATCAGACACAGTTCTTCAATCAGCCGTCCCACGTTTCCGTCTTTCCCCAACGACATGAAGTACACTCCTCCCGAAAACTCTTCCATAATCTTATCGTCATGCGCGATCGCCCGCAGGGCACATGTCTTCCCGACTCCGCCCTGTCCCACTGCTGTCGCACCCACTTGCTTGTTCCTATCTCTTCGGAGCACAGCCGCTTTTAGACGCGACTCACACGTGTTTGGTAATCCATCGCTCCCCCGAGAATCAAGCTTCACACATATCGACGCAGGATTATGTTCGGCTCTTATCGACGCCCTGAAGGTATCTCCCGTGCCTCCCCTGGTCGACTCGACGGCCGCGCTTACTTGTTGAATACAGCGGCCCGCTTCTTGCTTGACCGCCACGTGAGTATCGATGCTCGTGCTTGCTCGTGGAATAAGATCGTGAAGGTGGTCGGCTTCTTGCTCATCACTTGAGTCCTCCTCACTTTTCTTTTTCACCCACAGAAACACTCGTTTCACAAGATGTTCCCTTGCAGGATGGGCGAATTCATCTTCCGGCAGGTTTGTTGCCCCGCCGTCATTTTCAATCCCAGTAATACCTGCCAGCTCTTTTAGCTCCCCCTTCACCGTATCCGTGCTCGCTTCGTGCTGTCGTTCCTCGCTGAAAAACTTCTCAACTTCAAAAATATTCCTTCCTTCATCATCCCGGTACCGATCGGGCTCCAGCTCTCTGCATTCCCGAATACTTAATCTGTAAAAAACCGGAATCAATGTCGGTGGCCGCATCCCACTGCTTATCGCTTCTTTTCGTCGGCGCAGGAAGCACCGCAGTTCCCTCATTGTCCATTTTCGAGCTGCAAACTCGGGAGAAAGTATGAAAACACCGACCTTCGCAGACTCCATAGCCTTCGTCATTTCATCCTCTCCGCAGTCCCCGGGCTCCATCGAGATTTTGTCGAGGAAGCAACTTAAACCATGAGCTTGCAATTTCTCGGAAAGAGGACGTGCGATGTGTAGCTTGTCCGGGCCAGCATGGCTTATGAACACATCGGGAGACTGTATCTTTCGCCGTTTTCTACTTGGTCCCGACTCTTGCCGGACGCTTTCCTGCATTTTTTTGTGAATAGCTAAAGACAAGTTGGTGAGGTGCGGATTGTGTTAGGGGTGTGTTATGCGTGAGAACGGGACCGGCTGTTAGAAAAACAGGGCCGCGAAGGTTGAAGTCCGCGTTCAGCGCGCGGCACTCTTGTCGTTGTCGACGAAAGCAGAAACAGTGGCGACGGTCGTGTAGGTCAGTAGGGTGAGCTGATGTGCTTCGCTTGTTCTTCCGTGAATGAATGTCCGTGTGACCTCTTTGCGGAAAGACGCACTCAGGGTGGAGCGGTTTCCTACGCTCGTCAAAGAAAAAGGTGGCTGTTGAGCGGAATTTTGCTGCGTTGGCAGTGCCAACAACGCAGCAAAAAACAGCCTTACTAAACTCACGATGGGCCAAGTTGGCACATCGTGAGTTTGCCAAGTTGGCACATCGTGAGTTTGCCAAGTTGGCACATCGTGAGTTTAGTAAGGCTGTTCTCGCTGTGTGAGGCATGATTAATGTTTGATTTTTTGCACTAGATTTTGGTTGTAATTTCAAGGGTTTCTATATTGTTCCGCGTAAGCTTCCAAGTGGAAGCTTGACGGCCATCAAACGGGGAAGGAAGCGTGGAGGCCCTGAGAGAGAAAGGCACGCACAGGGAGAATTGCGAAAAAATAAAAAGAAAACCGGACCCCAAACCTAAACCTCCACTCGCGACGCACAAACATGACTTTTACGCCAGCAGTGGGAGCTTCAAAGGACTCCAGGGGCTTGTCTATCGGTATTACCGAAATACCCTAACAGAGGGACGGCGGAACAATGAAGGACAGGTGAGGACGTGTCCTTCCTGCTCCAGGCGCCTGGCACCAGACACACCCTCCTTACAACTTCGCTCCCGACTTCTCGCCGTGATGGCATCCCTGTCGCCAGCTTCTGGCGCCATGCGATGCGGTCGCTGTGAACCCTAAATAATGTATTGATTTTTTGAAGTAGATTTTAGGAAGCTGGGCGGCTTTAAAAATGGGAGAAGGAAGGGTGAAGACACAGGGAAGAAACAGAGACAGGCAGTACAACAACGAGGGAGAGAAAAAAGAGTACACGAAAAGCCATTTCACCCCCTTTTTGCCACAAAAAAGACCACGATCGCCCCACTAAACGCAGCATTAACTCTTTATATTTTATTCAACAGTCACCTGCCTCCCCATCGCAAGCCGCATGAGGGCGGGGCGGCGTGGCAACCCGGGGGGGCGCGGGTATCTGCCGGGACAGGGCCCGCGGCGGGGGACAGATGTGGGAGTTTGTCCTAGAAAAAATAAAGGGGATAAATTAGTTTATTTATGTTTAAAAACAGTTCGGCAGTGATTGTTAATGAATGTTTCTGTGCCAAGTGGCGGTGGGTGAAGGGAGGAATGCCGAATTGGTGTTTGTGCGAAGAGGAAGGCGAGCAGTGTCATGATTCATCCACACCGCACGTGTACACCGAGTACACGAGTGCCAGAGATCAGACCCTCTTCCAGTCACTGGAATCCAGAGGACGATCGTTCGCCGCCTCCTTCACAGACACCGACGCATCCTTTTTGTCACCACATTGGAAACGGAGCTGCAATGCTGAAAAAGAAAAACGCGCGAAGCTCCAGGAGAGTTGCAGTGGTACACAACACACATTTTGGACTTCCTCCTTTGAAACTTCTTTATCTGCTGTAGTGATAACCCCAGTGGAGGACCGCAAGGACAGACTTTCCGCATTACCGTACAGTCTGTCATTCGCGGTACTTAGACCCACGAGACGGCAACGACGAGTAAAGACGACCCCATGAGGATTACGATTCATCACTGAGTACACTATTTCGCGCACCCTACATACATGTACAGTCTCACTAAAATGTACACTCCCCAACTTCAAATCACATATCATCCATGACTATCGATGAACGCCTTCCCCCTCCCTCCCCTCGTGCTCCTTTCTCGACTAAACCGCCCGTTTTCATCTCCCGAAACCAACCCATCCCACCATCCTTACAGTACAATACCACCATCACCGACACCCAAAATGCGTTGTCCTGCATCACGGTACCAGAGAGCTGCTTGCTCGAAAGACGCTCCAGAAGCATCCCTACAACTCTATCTTCCGCATCACGAGTAGCTTGCATGCAGAACGCTTGAATGCATTTCAATGGGCCTCTGCCTCACACTGCATCAACCCAATACATGCACACGCACTCCGCACATGAAGATAGTTTCTGAAAAAATTGGATACTACTGAGGGCGAACTTTTAATGTTATGGGCGCTTGATATTGTTCCGGTGACGCTGTGTGGCAGCGTCTCCTTCGGAACGCACTGAGCCGACTTCGCTTTTCGACGGACGCACGGAGGTGACCGGTCTTCTGCTTCAGACACGCGGCGGTGTCCTCTTCAAAAATCTTCTGATTGCCCGCACGCAGCACTTTACCGACACGCGACGGCATCGTCTCCGACGGATGCGTGCTGCTAATGCGAGCGAGCGAGCGATGTGGAGAATTATGAAGAAAAGAATACATCCATACCTTCCCTTTCATCAGGTCGCAGTTCCTTTATGTGTGCCGGCAGCTTGCAAGGGGGAGCTGCTCAGCCAGCATCTTAAGTATCTGCCGGTATCCAAGTATCTGGCTGGAGACGGTTGTTGTTGACGCAAGTTGCGATACAAAAAGAGAAACACTACAATTACCCTTATTTTGGCTACAGTGTCATTCCATTCGCGTGCAACCCCTTGCTTCACACACGAGGTCAGTGCGAAGACGTGCGCGATGAGTCTGGTGCCATTAATTTCACATGCCAACTCCTGACGTCTCAACTTCACACCTCAAGTTATTCCGTGTTGGTGATTCGCGGGGAAGTGCACTGAGCGGTTGCACTGCAGGAGGGATGTATTTCGGCCTGCATCGGGAACAAGGGCGCGCGGAGAGGGACGCACAGCGCTTATCGAACTTGCCACCGACGGTGGGTGGGTGGCGCGCGTTTGGAAAGGGTACTCCGGGACGCGTAGGCGAGGGACGGCATGCGATTATTGGCAATCCCGACGTAGAGCGAGAGTTGCTCCAGGTAGGGAGCCTGGCGCCGTTGGCGTGCGTTTCCCCGGTGAGTAAAGTGACTGCCTGCATGGAACACATCGCCCCCCTCAGGCCTCTCGGCTGCCAGCCAAGAAGACGGCGCGCCGGGTGTGCGGCCGCCCAGCGGGGGAGCGCGGTCAAAACGCGCGCGCGGCCACCTGTTGCGTGCCGCAGACTCCCCGTGCGACTCCCGCAGATATAAGACGCATTCCAGCTTACGCGGGCCGCCGTCCGCCGCGCGCAACTGCGCCCTCTCTCCACGTGACCACGCCGCCGCGCTCCACGCGGAGCGCGGTCGATCGCAGTCGCAGTCGCAGAGGTGCGGGCAGATGGCCAGTGCCGGCGGGGCAGCGCGAATCGGGACGCACTGCCCCAGCGCCGGGGCCAGGGCCGCACGCCACGGCCTTGCGTCTTCTGCCCCGTCTTGCTGCGGTTTGCTTTGCTTTGCCCAAAGAAGTGACTTGGCGTGCTATGAGTGGCTCCTACGTTTTAATTTATGTGTTTA